GGGGGCTTGGCTGCAGCTGCTCCAACCATCTTAAAGGCTCTGACAGTAGAGCGTTTTCCCAGGGAACAGGCAATGTCAGAGCCTCTAGAGAAATGGAAAGAGCCAGAAGCAAATGGCAAAGAAGCAAACGGGAAAACAGATCAGAGAGTCTAGTGCGACAACAGGAAAAAAGGGTGGAGAGACTTTACCAAGGGCTTGAGGCAGCTTCTTCAAAATGCTTCAAATCTTTGAATTTCGAACATGAGTATCTGAGGAAAATGAAGTAACAATATAAGTGGGAAATCTGCTTCAAGGTAAACTGAAACCAAAGCACACATTAACAGCGGCTTGGAAACTTTTACTTGCTGTTTCTGGAAGTCTTCACTCTGGTCTGCCCCACTGCTCTCAACGGAAACCACGAGGCCGCGACCAGCTGGAGCTCCCTTCCACCCGCAGTTCAAAGCGCAGTGGATGGCGGGCGGTTTAGGGGCTGCTGATGGAGCTGGAACTATGGGAAGGAGACTCATCTCGTATCTCACTGTGTTTGGGATGTTCACAGGAAGCTACACAAAGTAAAAAAGAGTGTTCGAGCATCAAGCTAATGGCAGAACAAGAAGTGGTTCTATTTCGACAACAGTTACTGGCCCTGAGGCAGGCCCTGGCCAAGGCGCAGGCCCTGGCCAAGGCGCAGGCCCGCAACGTGAGGATGTGCGAGCAGCAGGAGAGCCAGGTATCTGAGCCCAAAGCCCGTCCTCCCGCTCTTTGGTGGCTCTCTGCAAGCTGAACGCGGCCACTGGAAGCAACTGGTGCTGCCGGTAGCAGTCACCAGGGCTCCACGTGTGAGGCACAGCACGTGGAACGGCCAGAAGAAGATGGCCTGGACCTTGGCTTCTCTTCTCCCTCCTTTCCAGCCCAGAAACCAAGGGTGGCGGCCAAAAGGCTTTTGTATATTCATATTTGGCTAAGATGGTGAAATGTTATTTATACATAAGATTATTTAAGATTGTGTGTGTGTGTGTGTGTGTGTGTGTGTGTGTGTGTGTGTGTGTGTGTGTTTCTCTGAGGATCTTTTCACCTGGAAGGCATCTTGGGGCCTGGGTCCCTGCCTTGAACAGGATCCTCTCATCTTCCAAGGGTGCTTTCCATCCACAGCAACCCTCTGCCCGTGGAGTGTGCCCAGCTGTTAGCATTACGCCCCAAGCAGACCTTCCCGGGCCCTTTCCTGATGACTCTTGCTAAGTCTTAATTTCAGAAGTTACTGCTGCTTAGTAGGGGCTGGCACCAAAGTAACGGTGCTTCCAAGTCCAAGCTCTTAATAACTGTGCCAACCTTCTGAGCATGGAGGAAGCAGAGAGACCCTCAGTTTAGAGAGAATGGCTACGTTTAAATAACAGCCTAGGAAAGCCGGGCATATTTAAAATGGGAAATACAATTTGTTCCTTTTGGATCCTAATTTCTCCATCCTTGTGCACCAGCTGATTATGGTATATAATTATTTAAACTGGGAAGTCACCATATAAGTACAGTAAGTCCTCATTTAACAACATCTATAGGTTCCACAACTTTAAGTGAAACGATGCATAGCAAAACCAATTTTACCATAGGCTAATTGATAAAAACAAGAGTTAAGGTCCCACAGCGTCTCATCGACGTTATAATGAAAGGATGTTGAACAAAACAATGTTTTTCCAAGGCCTGCTATATTAATCATTAGTAGTAGTAGTATAATTAGGGGCTGACCATTTGGTACCTACGGTGCTACTGATTAGAAAAATTTCAGAACAGAACCAAATTTTTACTGTTTTCCTTCTTTAACCAGCTGGAACCTGGCTTCCCCAAAGCTGTTTAGGAAGTCAAAACAGGCCAGAGTAGGACCTCCCTTCCCCACTCATTCCAAGTCTTGGGTCACCTGTCTCCCCAGGTTAACCCTTCCCTGCTCTCTCATGACAAATGCTCAGTGACGATGCAGATGCAGTGTGTGACAGATATGACTATTTGGTCAATAAGCTAAGTAACATACGCATTATCGTCAAGTTTTGGTATTAAAAGTTCACATTATTTGACCTGGTATTACTGGATAGTGGCATTATCGCTTGCCTGCTATGATTGCTGTGTATTTATTTTTTGTTTTCCCCCTAACTGTTGCCTCCAGGCTTACAATAAGTGCCACGCTGGCCCACATCTTGGTGGCCTTGCTGCTGGCTGGCACAGGACAGGGCAGCGGGGCTGTGGCACCCTGAGCCGAGGAGCACTCCGCACGGCTCTGCCCCCAGACCCTGTGGAGGTCCCCCAACCTCTAGGTGCCTGCCTGGTGCTGAGAAGAAAGACTCTGTGCCTCTCTCCTTTCTTTTGGCCTTTTCCTGCACAGGCCCGACGACTGAAAGAGTTAGAACACCAAGTGACCCGGGAGTCTCTCCACCGGCAGCAGCTGGATTTGCTGAAAACCTCCAGCATGGAGAAGCTCTTGGAAGATGTGGAGCAGAAAGAACAGCACCTGCAGCTCCTCACTGAAGAGGCTGAGCGGGCTGCCAGCCTGGGCCAGCTCCAGAGGAAGAAATTGCAGAGGGAGCTCCGACAGGTAACTCCAGAGAGGTCGCGGCGCCCTGCAAGCCGTCAGGGAGCCACAGCCGGGACCCTTCTGTTCTTCCCGTCTTTCCCATGCCTCTCATGCCCCCCACGGCAGTGTTTCTCCACCTTTGTCACTTCTGGGCCCACTAGGAAAACATAAATATTTATGCCCAAGCTGGGTGAATGTCCAGGCTGCTTATGTGAGAGATGATGCCTTGACTGCCTCAAGGACCAGTATCTTGGGATCCTTGCAGCCCACTTGAAAAACATATTTCCCCCTGGTTCTAATCTTTGAACCAGGAATCCTTTAGAAAATTCTGACAAGTAATTTGCAAAAGCAAGTATTCTGAAAGCTAATATAAGGGGATTTTATTCATGGTGTTTCTGGAACTGCAGACAAAAAAGAAAGGCAAAAGTGGTTCCCAGACACAATACAGTTTTGCTAAATGTACCCCACAGGAAAAAGAAAAACAAGGAAATAATATAATATAACATAGATGTGGATTGATGCAAGTTTCAACAAAGGAAACCAAAGAATGTAATTCCATACAACAGGAAAAAGAAAGAGCCCCTTCAGAGCAGCACTTCCCATGTAGTCACCGATTAAATAAATCAACTAATTCACCAGAGATATTAAAAAGAGAAACTGTAAAATTAAATTAAATTATTGGAATGTTTCAAGTGCTCAAGGAGAAGATCAGTAAGGAAAATTCTACAAAAATAAATGACAAAAAAAAGGGTAAAAATTGAACTGAGGCAGCACTAAAGAAAATATTTTTTTTTGTAGAAATAGAGAGAAAATGAGTAGCTTTAAAAGAACATTAGAATTTCACATTTATTTCATGAAAAGTAAACTCAAATATGCCTGAACCCATAAGAAAAATTTGGTGTCACATATTTGTCCTACAAATCATGCTTTTCTAAAAGCCACCACAAAAATACAGAGGTTCATAAAGTAGTTTCTCAAAGTCTTCCCGTTAATAATTTTTTGTTTAATGGCAGGGATTCCAGAAGTAGTCAAATGCATATTTTGAAGTTTCTCTCAATAAATACATGTTTTTAGCATTTGTATGTAAAAACAATCATTGGCTCTTTTTAAACTACCCCTCCAACTCTGCTGGCGGCTCAGGTGTCGGTGGGCTCACCCACCCCATGGAGCAGTCCCCCCTCAGCCAGCAAGAAAGGGCCCCTTCAGCCAGCAGTGGCGTCTTTAATCCATCTCCAACCTTGAGCTCCAAGGACAGATTTTGACGCTTTAATCTTGGAGAGCATGCATACCCTTGCCAGCCTCCTGCTCCTGGGGAGGCCAGTTAGACCATAGCCTGCCTGACTCACACCCCAAGCCCCAGCTGTGTGACTTTGGGTAAGGGCTGTGGCTTCCCCCTCTCCTAGTTTCTACATGAGTGCAGTGGGGTGTGAGGTACTCACCTCGTGGGATTTGGGGGAGGGTTAAATGAGATAATTCAAATGAAGCACTTACAGCAGAGACTGACACACAGCTCTCTATAAATATTGGCTGTTTGTCTTTTTGTTGGGAATGTGAAGGTGGACAACTTTGGAAATAGGTAAATGGGCCTGAATTCAAACCCTGACTCTGCCACTAACTGACTGTGTGACTGTACAAACCTCTGTGAAGTGGGGGTGGGGTGTGCTAACACAAGGTCCTTATTAAGCATTTTCTTTCCTTTGCTAATATTTTTCAAATTGGTTTAGCCTCTGCCTGGCTGAGGGAGTCCTGATATGTTTCTCCTAGCTCCTATCCACGGGGAATGAGCGTCCTACACAAATCCTCAAAGTACATAGAGGGACCTTAGGCCTCATTTGTATTAGGATGCTTTCCTAACTCTGAGGAGCTGATCATCTACTGAAAGTCAAACTACACTTGAAAGCATCCACAGATACAAGGAACCACCCTTTGACATTTGTAAGACAAGCCTGTGGTCACAGTTCTGCAAATTCAGGGGCCTTCTGGTTGGGTCCCTACAGACAGGAATAGGATTTAAAACACATGCGGTAGAATTTTTGAGATTAGCATGTGTATTAGTTTAGTAGGGCAGCTATAACAAATTACCACAAACTGGGTGGCTTAAAACAACAAGAATTTGTTCTCCCACAGATTAGGAGGCCAGAAGTCTGAAATCGAGGTGTCGGTTCCTTTAGAAGGCTTTGAGGAGGCGTCTGTTCCATGCCTCTCTTCTAGCTTCTGGTGGCTGCCTGCAATCCTCGGCATTCCTTGCCTTGTAGCTGCCTCACTCTACTCTCTGCCTCCTTCATCACGTGGGCTTCATCCCTGTGTCCCCGCGTGTGTATGTACCCTCTTCTCTCCTTATAAGGACGTCGGTCATGGATTTAGGGCCTGTCCTTACCAGCATGACTTCATCTTAACTGAGGTACATCTGCAAAGACTCTTTCCAAATAAGGTCACATTTTTAGGTTCTAGGTCAGGGCTGAGGAACGTCCGGTGGCCAGCCACATGAGGCCCTCGAAATCATTTGGTCTGGCCCTACCAATGCAACCATGAGTGGGACTCAAAATTTAACAAATCTAGGAGCTTTTTTCATAGCTAATTTTTAAGTTGATCATTTTACATGGCCCGCAAATGATGTTATAAATATCCAAATGGCCTTTGGCAGAAAAAACTTTCCCTATCCCTGTTCTAGGTGAACATAAATTTGGAGGGGACACTATTCAACCCACTACATTATTATTACATTTTTATAATTAAAAAATTAGGTGATAATAAAAATAAATTTCAAAAGAAAAACTGCCCATATCTGTGTAGATGAGGTGCTCTTTGGACCTAGCGGCTCTCTGGCCAGGGACTCTGAGTCAGCTGTGCTGGGAAGAGCCACGTTAGTAAACACAGAAGTTGCCTCAGGTTGTTGGCCTTATATCAGGCCCCAGGGATTTTCCTGAAGACTAGGAGCTGAGCTGAGCACTGCGATCTAGGAGAGAGATTGTCTTTCCTCTCTTTAAAACCCTTCAGGGACTCCTATACTACGGGTCCTTGGGGTAGGTGCATGGCTTGGCCTACAAGGTCCTCTGTGAACTGTGCCCTCCCCGCTCTTCCTTTCCCCCTTCCCTCTGGTAAAAATAAACATAAAAGATATAACTTGTGATTAAACACCGGCTTTTATAAGGTAATAAGGGGTTCCAAGGGCTTCCTCTGCTCCCCTTGGGTTAAGTTCTTGGCCTTCCTGGAGCTCTTCTCAGAAGGCTGAGTTCAGCCTGACCAGGGTTTCATGAAGACTTGTATTCCTGGGGTGGCCTGGACCCACACTCTCCCCAGGAAGCCCGGAACTAATGTATGCACCACCAGAAAGCACCTCTGCTTCCCAAGCACTTTCCCCTCAGATGAGAAGCCAGCTTGCCCAGGAGCGCAGCATGAAACTGGACGCTTTCCAGTGTGTAGAAGAGCTACAAAGTCAGCTTAATGACTCTGTGAGATCCTCTGTCCCGATGAGCTCACCTGGAGGTAAGCAGACGCCCTTCTCTGGCTAGGGCAAGCTCTCAGGGCCCAGGGACCTAGCCATAACTACCCAGTGGTTATTGAGTGGGTATGCCATGATGTTTGTTGAATGAATGAATGACACATGAATGAATAAACCTTAATTCTGATTTGCAGACAGAATTTCCTACTTTACTTCTCTTTGAATTACTGTCATTCTGTACTAAATGGTTTCAGTCATAAAAACTGGTCCCAGGAGTGTGAAATATGCCACCTAAAGAACACTGGGTGCCCAGCCGGGCGTGGCTCAGCGGTTAAGCGTCGACCTAGGATCCAGGCGATCAGGGTTCGATTCCCGGTCAGGGCACATGCCTGGGTTGCGGGCTGCAGCTGATCACTGACTCTCTCATCATTGATGTTTCTAGCTCTCTCTCTCCCTCTCCTTTCCTCTCTCTGAAATCAATAAAGATATATTTAAAAAAAAAAAAAAAGAAGAACACTGGGTAATGCACTGGATTTTGAAGCATCTCAATGCCTTGGGATATTAATGACCACATTTCTGAGATGTTCTTCATAAAGGCCATTATGATTCTTGGGTGCTGGGAGCTTGAGGAGTTTTATACAAATGGCACAACGCTCTGGGCTGTGCAGCCCACAAGCAGCGTGGAACTGGGGCAGACCCCAGGGTGTTTCTATACTCGCTTCCTCCCCTGTAAGATGAAGACTTCAGGTTCTCTTCTAGCTCTATTGAAAACATCACCAAATACTAGTAACCATGACTAGCCTCTTGTTAAGATCAGCCATGCCTCTTCTTTTCTGTTCTGCAGTGCAGCCTGGTGATTGAGTGCGGGGGCTTTGGAGCAAAACACCCAAGGTTCAAACCCTGGTCCCGACACTTACTGCCATGTGACCTTAAACAAGTTAATCAGCCTCTTCTTAAAGTGGGAATAGCTTACCTCGAAGGTGTATTGTGAGGGTTAAATGAAATAACACGTCTGGCATACAGTAGAGACAGTATAGAAGCACTAAGTGTGCAAATGCTGGCTACTACACTCTCATGCCTGTGTTGTACTTTATGTTTCCTTCTGGCTACTTACAGTGTGAGTGATGGGAGAAAACACAGCCTTTCAGAAGCAGAAAGATCAAGATCACAAAGACTTGACAAGCAGGACTGGGCTTGTTGGTGAAGCCCAGGGGCCCTCCTCCCTGCCTCTGCCTGAGCCCTGACAGCAGGGCTGGCGCCCCTTGTCCCAGCCACCCAGCCCAAAGAGGAAGAACATCAAGGACACCCAAGCGCCCTATTTTGGCCACTGACCCTGAGTGTGGCATAGTCCTTTCCACACACCCTGGGATTTTTCTCTCTCCCTTTCCCCTCTGCCTCCAGCCCAGCTAAGCACCTTTTTAATCCCTTTCTGGGTTAATGTGTGTTGTGTAATGCCACCCATATCCTTCAACACCTGCACAATTATGAGGAACCATGCAGCGCGAGGAAGGTGGGGGAGCGCTAATTCCCAAGCCTGGGGATGTGGCAGGAGTGAGAGAGAATCTCTTTCCCAGGAGGCAGGGGCAGAAGTTGCTCCCCATCTGTCCCCTCTGCAATGACAGGAGGAGGGTTTGCTGAGGACTTCCTACTTGCCGATTAATCAGAGGCTAGGGACTAGGTCAAACGTGTCTGTTTAGCACCCAGCACTCCAAGGAGACAGGCAGACATCGCCCTCTACTACCAAAGCCACAGGGGAAAAGCCGGCGGCGGTGTGAGGTCTCCTTTCTGCAGGGCTGGTAGCAGCAGCCCCCTGCTCCCCACACCAGAAGCCAAGGCAGAGGGAACGGGCAAGCTCTCCTTGCCTGGCACTGGCATGGATCCCCCAGGATCTTGCAACTCCTGAGAAACTATCACTTGTTCTAGCGCAGTCAGTCTCAAAACACTTCAGGGAAAAAATGAAATCAATTGGCTCACAGAACTGTGAGATGTTCAGAAGTGGAGTGGGTTCGGTTACTCTGATGGTTTGAACTATTTCCTGAGGACTGGTTTCTCTCTCTCCATCTCTGGGCGCCGACAGTGCTGGGAGCAGTAGGGAGGTGGAGCCCCTTGGGAAGCAAGTAGCTTTCACCCTCTGTTCAAGCTCAGGAGGCAGGAGTGGGATAAAACAGTAGGGCTCTGACTGAGCTGTACACATGATTTTTCTATTTTTTAGAGAGAGAGGAAGGGAGAGGGAGAGAGAAACCTCGATGTGAGAGCATAACATTTATTGGCTGCCTCCTGCATTCTGCCTATGTGGTTTCAAGCCTGCAACCTGGGCATGTGCCCTGACCGGGAATGGAAATGGCAACCTTTTGGCGCCAGGGGTGATGCCCAACCAACCGAGCCACACTGGCCAGGGCTATGTGCCCAATTTTAAACAAAGCATTTAAGACAGAGACTAAGATGCCTGGTGGGCTTAGGCTCAGCTCACAGTTCTCCCCTGGAGCTGAGGGTGGGGTCAGCACACTCCTCTTTGCAGCAACTATTTTAAATATTCCTGGTCTCTTCAGACCTTCAGACACTGCCCTTCTCCACTTCCCAGAGAAGTTAAAAGCCATCAGATGAAAACTCCCTCTGCTTCCTGTCCCCAGCCTACCTACATCGATACTGCTGCTTCTCCTTCCTCCTGTGAAAATGGAAAAGGTGCCCTTTTCCTCCCCTGGCCAATCCTGGTGCACAAGATCCTATGTGCTCTCCTACCTTCTCAGGGACCTTGAGCTAATCTTTATCTGCTTCCTGTCTACACATCTATCCATGTCCCACACATCTATCCCTCTAATCCTGTAACCAGCAATTAGTTATTGAGCATGTGCCAGGATCGTAAGATCCATTGTAAAATAAAATTAACATCCATCTAGTTGCTTCAGCCAGAAATCTGGGAGCTCTTCCTCATCCTGCAAATCCGGTTAATTACCAAGTCCTATTAACCTGAAGTTTTCTTGGTCTGTCCACTTCTGCCCCAGTCGCCCATCATCTCCTTCGCTTTCACTTGGTCATGTGACCCTTGGGCAAAAGACTCTATCCAGATTTTGACATTTTTGATTCAAAATTAATGAAGCTGGATTATATGCCTACTTTAAGCTTTAAACATTTATGAATTAAATCTAGGCCTGTACACTGCAACCAAAGATATAATTTAACATTTTTCATATTATAGGCCTTACAGCTCGGGCTCCGTACTCCCTCAGTTCTGCTTCCGCATCATCCAGATACTCCCAGCAACACCTTTTAAAGACAAATCTTATGGGCAATAAAACAAGGACTCAAAGGCCAAAGACTGTAAGTAATGATAAACTTGAATATACGAAACAATGGAAAACATAGATATGAAGTTATGGTTTTAGGGTCACTTCAAACTTACATTTAAAAAATGTCAGAATCTTATCTAGGTGCTTAGGTCTGGATAATATTCTGGATTTCTCACAAAAGGAATTTGTCCATGAATTGCTGCTGAATCAGTATTTGTGGAGGGAACGAGGGTCCAGGGCTTCCTACTCTGCCACCTTGCTGTCACTGCTCAATTATAAAATTCTGACATTGGAACTATTAAGCCCAAGAGCACTTACTCAATTACAATTCAATAAATAAGTGTGGGAGTCAGTACCACCACCTCGTTATGTTCTCTCTTTTTTTTTTTAACTCATCTACAATAATCAACTAACAGCATCAGACTCCTTATCTGGGTTCCCTGGCAGAGTGGAAAGTTTCTGAAGTCAGTTTAAAACACGTGAGAAATGTCCTCCAAAGAAATTCTTGGAATGCAGATTAGCTTGAGGCATAACACACATCTGAAGATTTATTAAAAATACTTCAGCTCTCAGCTCATGTGAACATTTACATCCTCTCCCAGCGCCGCCTCTGTGCTCCTTGAATGTGCATTACGCTCTTTGCTCCGACATCTTTCAGGATCCCCCTAGTTACACACCTGATCTACACATTGAAGAGTTCCTCCTCTTGTGTTATGCTAAGTGAAACAAGTCAGAGAAACACAAATGTCATGTGATTTCACTTATATGTGGAATCTAAAAAACAAAATAAACCATCGAAACAAACTCATAGATACAGAGAACAAACTGATGGTTGCCAAGTTGGGAGAGGGGTTAGGGGGCTGGGCAAAAAAGGTGAAGGGGAATTACAAAGTACAAATTGGTGTTTACAAAATAATCACAAGGATGTAAAGTGCAGCATAGGAAATATAGCCAATAATATTGTGCTAACTCTGTATGGTGCCAGGTGGGTACTAGACTTATCAGGGTGATCACTTTGTAAGTTATATAAATATCTAACCACTATACTGTACACCTGAAACTAATACAATATGTCAACTGTAATTGAAAAATAAAAAAATAAGAATTCCTTCTCTTACCTTGAAAAAAATTAAACATTTCATCATTCTGTCCCAGAAAATATGCCACTGTAAGGCCTCTTTTGAAGGTGTGAATTCTGTGGCTCATATCTAGTTACTGGAACAAATGTTTGTTGCCATATTTCTAAACATACAGTTAAGAGGCCATAATACAGAGAGGGAAAAACAGGTTGGGAAAATACCCAACTGAGATCCCTGACCAAGGAGGGCCACAGTTCTCATGCCCACCATTTGCTTGACTCACCAATCTGTGGAGTCATTTTTGACTAAAATGAAATTCTAGTATATGTCTATTTGTTTCTGAAAAAGCCTTTTCCAAAAGGAAGCAACATTCAGTTGGTGTGTATGAGTCCATAAGGACTTTTAAGATTGACTCCAGCCCAGCCAGCATGGCTCAGTGATTGAGCATCAACCTAGGATCCAGATGATGGTTCGACTCCCAGTCAGGGCACATGCCCGGGTTGTGGGCTCAGTCCCTAGTAGGGGCCATGCAGGAGGCAGCTGATCAACGACTCTCTCATCATTGATGTTTTTACCTCTCCCTTTCTCTCTGAAAAATCAATAAAAGTGTATTTTTTAAAAACTGACTTCACCCCCATTTTACTCCCCAAAGCAAGTGTTTGTATACCATGGGGGATCAGGGTAGGCTGCCAAGTAGCTAAATGCATTAGTGGAGATCCACTGTTTGGAAGATTTAGAAGGCTGATGTGATGATATAAAGCTCATTGTGAGACATTACCCAACTAAATAAATTCTAACAATGAAAAAAGTATCTTGTGGGCCCCTGGATTATTACAGTAGAGACTGTACACAAAAAGCTGAAGGTCCAGGAAAGGCAAAAAATTAGTTGGAACTGCTTTAAATCTAAGGTCTGACTTCTTAAGCAAGGCCTATAAGACAAGTCAGATAAAGACAAAGAGGAATTTATGCATAGCTGGAATGTAAGAACACCAATGATTTTCTAAAACAAACAAAAATAGCACTGCACTAACACAAATGATAAAATATTAAGGAACTTTCAGATTACTCCAAAAAAGGGGGTATCTTTTCTTACTCCGCAGGAAGTGGCTTTCCACTGATGGATTCATTTACCACCAGTTCTCTTTATGACAAGTGGCAAAATATGTACAAGGCGGCACTCTAAATGGCCTAATCCAGACCAGACCAGTGATCTTGGTCTCATTAGTGACTTTTTATGATGTATAACAAGAATTATTCATCATCTTCCTTAAAAGCTCCAATGTCTACTTAATATTTATATTCCAGGTACCTACTAAACACAGAAAAAGGGCTGATGATGTCTTCCTACCCATTGTGGCAGAAAATGTTCAACTTTCAGCTTTTCAAGTTCAAACAGCTCCATCCAGAACCCCATTCAGACCTGACTGGTAATCCTAATCCTTTTCCAACTTTTATTTCTATAAGCATTTAAATAAATAAAAATGATTTTAAACTCCATTACACCTTTTATCTAGTACTTATTATTATGAGTACTGTGAAGATAGTGTGGAAGGACTGACATGATTATACCCTGAACGTCCCAGGTGAAGGAGTTGGCTCTAGATTTTGAAACCTAAGAGTTGATTTGCATTTCTACCACATGGGCCTTGCCTCTGGTCAATCAACAGCCTCTCTACCTGGGTTCTAGAAATACTGATTAGATGACACAGTCAGGAGAGGGAGCACTACTGCTAAGCAGTATTTACTAGTAAGTGGAAAACTAAAACAGATTAATCCAAATAAACTTCAGAGAACTTACTTCTATTTGTTTCACTTAAGAACATCATCCTCTCTTAACAGACTTTTTATTCTTCCTACAAATGTCAAAATCCTCTTCATAAAGTCCTAATCCAAGCCTTTTTGTTCAGACAAGAAAAATCTATCTTGGGTATAGTAATAACCAGATGAATGGAACAGAATAGACCAAAGAAACATTTATATACATAAATTTGTATGATATATGTAGCCTTCCAAATTGAGGTTGAGTCTATTTGAAGTAGATTAAATCATCACCTTACACTATAATGAATTTCAAATGGATTAAAGATGTATATGCACACACATGTGCACAGACATACACACAAACATTTCTGAAATATAAAAAAACAAAAGCCAAGAGGAATATTGATGAATGCTATCAAAACCAAAATTCAACAGGACAAGGTATGGTATTACTTATCAATTTACAACCTATAAGCTCCAAATTCCTCCTTGTCTGCTGTGGAATAATGAATCTGGACCCTGTATTTCTTCTTTGCCAACCGGCAAGATGCTAAGCTTTGTCAGCAGAGGGTGCTGGAGGGACCCTGGAGGAAGAAGGGCCTCTATTCCAGGTTCTGGGATCTCCTCTGGGTAGGCGCCTGCAGTGTGCAGCTTCTAGTGTCCCGGCAAAGGCGGTGCCTGCAGCTTCACAGCAGTGCCACTGGCATGGCACCTCCACGAAGGGCTTCCCTGCCAGCACCACTTTGGGTGTTCCACAGCCTCAGTGAACATCTCTGCCATCTTGTGAGCCTTAAGGGGCATACTCTCTCCAACTAACAAACTGGACAAAATACATGAAACAGTAGTGTTCAATACAATGGTCTTTAGGCAAAGGACAGTAAGACCTGAAAGACAGGAAAGTACTGACCCCACTTACTGCCTTCACTTTCTAAGCCATGTTGCAGGGAAGGGACACCTAGGCAAGAGCCTACTGGGCTTCGTGAGTTGAAAACATGTAGCTGAAATCCAGTGAGATGGAGGCAGCTGGAGTTACTAGGGTAGAGCACCAAGAAAGAAAGAGTAGCAGAAAGAGAAATTCCAGAGATCTGCAGAGGGCGCCCCTCCAGTATTCAGCAATGTACTGGCCAGTGCATGCATGTGAGGAAAACTATCCAAATCTGGGGAAAGATTTAGAGGAAACAGTACCTGGAGCTCACACAAAACTAGGAACAGAGCCCGCTCCCACTGGCCCAGACGAGAAAGCTTCGTAATGCAGTGGGCACTGGACACTCAGAAGGGTCTTGCCTCAGAACTGGGAAATAATTAAGCCCTAGAACAAATCCTACACTGCTGTCACCAACCAAACTTTAAAAAACAAGTCATGAAAGGATCAAACTGATTTCAAGTAATTTATGTCCCAGAACAAAAGTAACCCACACCCAACAAGTTAAAATTTATGTGTGGCATGCAGTAAAATTACCAAATATGCAAAGAAATAGAAAAATATGACACATAATAAGCAAAAAAATCATCAACAGAAAGTGACCCTGATGTTTTAATTAGCCCATAGGCTAACTGTTAAAAATTGTTACACTGTATGCTCAAAAACTAAAGAAAAGATTGACTATGTAATGGCATGAAAAATATAAAAACACCCAAATTTCTAGGAATAAAAACATCTGAAATGAAAAACACATTGGATAACAACACATTAGACAAAGCATCAGTGAACTCAGAGAGTAATAATTTAACATAAAACAGAAAAGGATTTTTAAAAAACCTAAAAGGTGCAGAGGTGAGCTGTGGGTCAACTTCTGGCAGCCTCTGTGTAAAGTTCCCAACAGAGAAGGGAAAGAAAAAATATCTGAATAAAAGCTGAAAGATTTCCAAATTTGATAAAAACCATAGATTTAAGAAAGTCCATGAACCCCAAACACAAGAAACAGAAAGCAGCAGCACAGCACATCATAATCAAATTGTTCAAAGCCGAAGATAGAGAAAAATCTTAATAGGCAACAGAGGAAAAAGATATGTACAGAGGAACAAAAGACAAAGATGAAAGATTTCTCAGAGAACACAATGTGAGAAGAGAGTGGACATCATTAAAGTGCTGAAAGCAAAAAATATCAACCTAGAATTCTATATGCAATGAAAACATCTTTCAAAAACAAAGGCAGACACACAAAAACTGAAAGAATTCATCAACAATATCTGTACCATCCTAACTAGAAATATTAAAGGTTAAAGGACAGTCTTTAGGAAGAAGGTAAATACCAGTAGCAAAGTAATGGAGAGCACAAGAAATGGTCATTACACGGGTGTCAAGTACACAGGACTTTTTATTATCTAAAATAACTATTTAGAACCCCATTCTTATCAAAATAATAATTTGTCTCTAGCAACATTTCAGGGTATCTTCAAGCTTGGCAGAGTTTTATATTTACCAAACTTGACCGTATATAAGGCTAATATGAAACCAAAGGTTCATACTTTCTACAGCAAAATTATTGATAAGTTTTAATGTATATAGGGGAGTATTCTCTCAGTTCAAATTCTGGGGTTTAATATAGAATACAATCTTGGCCAAAACATGGACCAAAAGTACCAAATTTCACATACTAGCCATGCGGCTTGATACTAGATATTTATACAAAGTACTCTATACAGAAGCCCAATTTGTTACTTGGTAGAGCTTAAGTGGATGATTTCTATTGATTTGTGGAATATCAATTTGTATGTCACTCCCATAGGCATAAAAAGTCATCCCTCCAATTATTATTTCTAAGGCTCTGTTCTCCACGAATGAACACATACTTTAGTTACTATCTGCTGGTCTTAGGGAGCAATAAAAACTGAGCACACAACCCATTCTGAGAGATAAGGTAAATTCACTAGCATTAATTGTCATAACCAAAAAGCAAATACACACTTCAGTTAATAAAAAAGAACATAAATTCAATAAACATGTAGATTTATTTTAAATCAGTATGGTACATGATACAGATTGGTTTTGCAGTTTTTCATGAACTAAAATAGAAATTTCTAAATATAGCAGTGTCTGCCTGTACAACAAATATCTTAAGATAAAATAAGGTATTTTGATAGAACTACATCTGCATGAAATAGTCAGATGAAAAATCTGAAAAGGTTTCTATATACCTTCTGGATTAAAAAAACCCAAAAATTATCAATGGCTCCAGATACTAAATTGCTAAAGAAAGGAGGGAAAAAGGCTGTGAGTTCTGTTGTAAGAGCTCTTCTTGCAAAATCTAGTTTCATATTATATGATTTTGTTGTTAGAGCAGTCCTCAAAATTACAGAAGATGAGAGGCTTCATCTGCTACATTTTCACAAAAATTATTTTCACAAAAATTACCGTACGTGTTGACATTAACATGTGACAAGGCATTCACACCACTGTAGCCAATTTTTGCCACTCTGGGAAGAATGGAAATTCTGCACACTTTCAAATAAATCTTGCATCTTATAGCACTCACTAAAAACTAACAGCCATGGCACCGTAATAAAAGTTTCTGTGAGGTACCTAGACTACTACTACTAATGAAAACACAAAAATGTGAGGTAAACCTACCTTTTCCCAAAAACCTTTGAAGTCAGAGATTTTAAACAATTAAGGCACTTGAAAACATTAGGTGTACATACAAATGTGCAAGTAAAACAAACTTTAGCTGTACCAGCAAGTAACTAAGAAACAAGCAAATCTTCATTTAAAGAACCTTTAATTATCTAAATGTAAGGAATTTTGGCTTATGTAATGGACCTAAGCAACTTGTCTTTTCCTACCATAAAATATTGAAAACTGAGAGCTAAACTTAGCCACTCTAGGCTAAAGAAATGAAAACAAAACAATTTTAATGACCTAGAAAAGCAAAAGCTCATTTTAAACCAATTTAAGCCTCTGAACTAATCCAATGTGTCAAAGGCAGGAGGGAGAAGTATCCCTCTAAAATAAAAAACACCTAGTGCTTCCTAAGAAAACTAAAGAAATAAAAGTATGCATGCTTACTATACTAAGGGAATTGAAACTAGGAAGAAGAAAGCTTGGCAGAGAAGAAAGAAAAAAGTACAATCTGTTTATCCAGGGCAATCATTATTAAAAATCTACAGTACCAAAAATCCTTAGATTTTCTGAAATTACACTGGTCACATTTGCCGTCTCAAAACTTAAAATGAAAAAACAAAACACAACTTAAATGATTGTCTCATTTAAAGAGTTAGTAAATGACTCTAAAATAACTGATTATTTCCTTCTTGCCTCATGAAAGAAGTTACTTTTCAAGATAGCTTGGTGAAAATTCTTTTGAGATACAAGTGTTAAAATACTTTTTTGAAGTACAAAGAAAAATATAATTATATCAATTTTAGTCTCTATTATATTTTTAACAGCCAGTATTTTGGGAGGTTCAACATATGAAGACTTTCAGCTTTGTGTAATATCCTTTAGCTTACTCAGGTCTGAAGTAAAGTAGGTAAGTTTTCAATTAAATATTAACAGTATGGTATCTAAAAGCAGGTTTACTACTGCTCACATGAAGTTACACCTTCAGATCAACCTTTTACCTTCCTTGATGGGAACAACAAATCACAAACATTTTAAGTTACATTCTACCCTTCAGTCTGTCTTTTAAGGCACTGCTCTTTTTCTCAATGATATAAGGTGCTTTACAAGTATTAACAATAACCTGCTATACTTTGTATCCTTTCCATTTATTTCTTTAAATCTGGAATGTAATTCCCTGTGTGGTGTCTTATTTCTAATGTAGAAAAAATAACTGTTATCAAGCACAAAATTTTACTCTAAGGATAGTTTACTATATGAATATTAAACTATAAATTTACTCCATTTTTTAAATGATAGCCAAAAATCCACCTGATTCATGCTCATTTGGCACATTCTTCTCAATTCTGGCCACTGAACTACATCCTGAGTTAGGATGAAAATAATGCAGCTTTCAGGGTTTAAAATGACTAAATTTAACTGCCAAAAGTCATGAGGTTGTCTGCGCAGGACAATGTTTTCCATCCCTTACAGAGTTACATTGGGCATGTCAAGAAAAAAGAACATAATCCCACAGCAGCAGCCATACAAAATGAAAGAAGACAGCCACAAGGCTTCATGCAGAATATTTTAAATATTCCTGTTGAGCAAAATGATTTAACTGATTTTTCTTCCAGCATGATGCTCCAAAATATCCTATATGCATCCTTTGAAAATTTAAAGATCCTGGAACAGCGTCTTCCATGTGGGACATCTTGAAAGATAGTATTTTGGTTTCATTGAGTTACACGCCAGTCCTTGTTAATCTAATGGGTCTGTTTACAGAGTGTGGTAGTTTCGTTCTTTTGATTTGCAGAATTTATAGAGAAAGAAAATTACAGCCTGCACACCCAAGACAAGGACAATTCCTCCAATGAAACTGGCTGCATCAAAGGTAGACTTCCGCATAGGTTGTGAAGTTGGACTTAAAGTGGCATTAGTTGAACCTGTTAAATAAGATAGAAGAAATAACAATAAGTCTCATGAGCCTCTATCACATAATTTCAAGACCCACCTGAGTTTCGATTTTGTCTTTTGTTAGATTTTCTGAAATATTTCCTCTTGAGACAAGTCTTTACAACTAGAATTTATACCCAATTGAGGAAGACAATTATTATCATTCCATTCTTCATTTCGCTGGTCATATCAAGTGGTTAAATGCTGCTATACAACTTCAAATATAGAAATGAAGGAAAGAGACTCTCCTGGTATATGAATTATGCCCTGGGAACATGCGAAGCACTTTAAAATTTTATAATTTCTTCAGACTAACGATCCTGCTAGAGTAAATATTAATACTTGTATTAAAAATGCACAAACTTGAATTTTAATAAATACATGAGGTAAATTTAAAAATTTGGTTGCAATTTTCCAAATTACAAAAACAATCTTAAGTATCTGCAATTTATAACTCCATAAGCAAAAGAACTCATTATTAAAAGTATCTTTTTAAAAAATATATCTATCTTTATTGATTTCAGAGAGAGAAAGGGAGAGAGAGAGAAAGATCAATGCTGAGAGTCACTGATCGGCTGCCTCCTGCATGCCCTGCTGCCACTGCGCCCCGGGATCAAGTGCACAACTCGGGCACGTGCCCTGACCAGGAATCGAACCTTGATCTCCTGGATCATAGTCGATGCTCAACCGCTGAGCGACACCAGCAGGGCTACTAAAAGTACCTTAAACCTTACTCAGCAGATTTTACATTATGAGAAAGTTATTACCAAGTCATGAGGGGGTTAAAAAGGCACAAAAATTTGAATTCCTTCCCAGGGAGTAAAATGTTTCAAGGGGAGCACCACTCACTTTAATAAAAAGAAATCTCATATTTAAAATCAATTTTACTTTTTTCTTAAATAGAATATCAAATAAACACTGGTTCTGGTGGCTGTACGTAACAAGTTGGCCGGTTTTAAAATTAATTATAAGTATTCTGTATTTCTTCTTGTGAAGACAGAATGGCTTCACTGAAACTGAAATAAAGGTAGTGTAAGAATAAAGACAAAAGGATAAAAAAATTACCAAGATTCGCCATAAACAGAACAAGTGTCTAAAATATGGACAGAGGGAAGAGTTCCTAATCTGTGTATCTATTGTGTCTTGTGGCATAACCTAAATGACTTAGTTTATTAACATGTCAAATCACTAATTAGTAACTTAATTTTCACATGTACTTTCAAGCGTTATTATAAAGGAATTTGAGAAATTGTAAGAAATATGGCCAAGATTGACATTTAATAGTGATCTTGGCTTTTTAGGTATTTTTCAGTAAAAAGGACGGCTTTATTATCTTCATTCAGATTGCTATGGCCTAATACAGCACAAAACCAATGCCTAACATTGATCAGTATTTAACTTTTAAGTTATAAGAAATTAGATTTCACCTACAAGTTGTACTAAAGGGTTTTGGAAACACATTATTTAATTCTAATGTGTCATGCCAAATGTGATTACAAACTAAGACTAGAAAAGGACTCAGCAAACCTATCACTACTGCTTTAACAGTCCACTGTGTTGTCCTCTAAACATAAAAGATGAGTTTCAGTTCACCACCATTCATGAGTAAAACTGGAAAATGGTGGCAGAAATAGTAAAAGGCAACGGTACACATACACCCAGCTTCACTGAGTTTTAAAAACTTCAATTACCTGGCGTAGTAGCAGTTGTAGAAAAGGAAGGCATAGTTGTGTTTCCAGCTGGAAGGTAAACAAAATGTATTAGAAACTTAAATTTCTAAACTTCCCAGTTATTTAGCATCTACTTTTTTAAAATAATGCCACCAACTTCAACATGCTTTCAATTTTTTAGAAAATAAAGGCCAATTTTCAGTTAATGGTTCACTAACATCTACACATCCAGAATACTAGCTTTTAAATGTATTTTAAAACATTAAGCAATCATAAAATTGTATCCAGGTTAACATCTATATGTAAAATCTATGTATACAACTGGATCAAGTTTGGGGGAAAAACACACACAGAAGGGCAAGAATTAGTGTTTAGGTGAGGGAATTATAGGTTCTTTATAAATAATATTGCTTCTAATACAAAAACTAAACTTCAAAAGTCAAGGTAAGAAACAAGTGCAACTCAGTATTTCTTACGTGGGTATCAAGATTTGCTTATCTTCTTCATTTCAGGGGCTTGGGAAACTTTTCTTAAAGGGGCAGAAAGTAAATATTTTAGGCTTTGTGCACTGTATAGTGCAAAAGCAGCCAAAGACAACATGCAAATGAATGGGCATGGTTGTGCTTCAATAAAACTTTATTCATAAAAAACTGGTGTCCTAAGGCCACAGCTCCCCCAATTTAGATTAGAAGTGTCCAGGGGAAGCTCTAGCCTACCAAACTATGTAAGCTCAAATAATTATATGATGACGCTTCTGAACAAATGTACACTCATGGGAAGAATTAGATGGAATATAACATTTTAGGAACTGAAGTATTACATTAAAGGACTTGTTAGTGTTGATACTATTGATAGATACTAATAAATATGTTAACACCCATGGATATTTTCATACACGTGTGTACCCTTTTTTCTCTTACCACTGTACACATTTTACCCACCCTGCTCTTAGTTGGACTGTTAGGTCACCTCTCATTTCTCCATGCTATCTGTGAACATCTTACAGGGAAATACTTGATCTCATCTCTGACAGGGCTGATTCCTATACAGAATTCCCACCAGATTAGAAAGTATGATTATTTTAAGACTTATGGTCCCTTCAAAGTTGTTGTTGTTTATACATTCTGTGTAACTGCAAAAAAATGTACTTTACAAATTAAACATATATCAAAATCCTTTTCAATCTTAAAACACTACTATTAATTTTGTCTGAACATTTATACAGTTTTATTTTTGACCAAAGTATTAAATTAACAAAATATTCAAAATTAGGCACTACTCAGGAAATATACCTGCGCTGCCCTTATTTTGTTACTTTCATTTAAAAAAATAATTCATAAGTCATAAAAGCTGCTATTGGTGATAATTTAGAAAATATAGTAAAGAAATGTAAGTAATCCCATCACTCTGAGTAGCATGTTTTTTCCTGCCAGCTATTTCTCTAGGCACGTATGGAACAAAAAAATAAATTGTACTGGAACTACTTAATACAGTTTGTCTTTCACTTATTATGAATATTTTCCATTATATTTCTGACATTTAGTCATTTTATTATGTTATTTATAAATATAGTTTTGTGTTTATAATATTTATACTATTTGTACTGGCAGAAGACTATTAGCCCCACTGAACACCTTTCTATATAAATCAAATTCTCTTTGCATTAACAGTCCCTTAATTTCCCACTTGCTCTCTTCAGCAGTAGCCATGGAAAGAGACATATAAAAGTTTGTTTTTCAACCATTAATTGTCACTCAACTGATACATTTTCTGCAAGGATACATCAAGACTCATGGGGAAGAAATTAAAAGTAGGCTCACAATGACTTTGGGAAAATCATTTCCTCCTCTCTCCTTCTGTTCACATCCCACCTTCTGGAAATAAGTTTTCTCTCAACATCTCAGCTTTCAATGACCTTTAATACCTTCCTAGTCAGTGATTTCTAATGAGTGCTAAAGGTTTAAGAGCACACCACTGTGTGCTCTCCAAAATAAAGTTTCACAGCATTTGCAGATTTCCATGGTGTGAATATTTCCACTGTAGCTGTAATTCAAACTACCAACATGGAATCATGAAATGTGCAGTTGGAAAGAGCTGTGCACAATTGGCTAGCAAAACCTGGTAAAAGCTAGCTCACCACAGCCTAAGTCTTTCAAAATGAGTTTTTGTCCTTGTTACAGCATTTGACCACCTTTTCCTCTGAAAAAACTACACCTAAATCACACACACACAGTTTCTTGGACACACTTCTCTGGGCTCTCTCCTCTTCCCATCTCCACTCAGCTTCCTCTCCAGTCCTCTTTCCACCCCTTAGACATTACTGTTCTCAAGAGTTTGTTCCTAAAACCCTATTCTCCTCCCTAGAAACCACTCTAGGACTTCACTACTGTCTACACTGATCAACTTAGCTGTACTTTTAGCTAAGAGCTCTCCCATCACCTCATTCATCAAGTCCCATGCCTTCTACTTCCTAAGTCTATTTGCGTACGTCTGCAACTCTTCCCCTATTAGTTCTCTAGAATTACTACAACAGGTTATCTAACCTCCTCGTGTTCACTCTAGTCTCCCTTCCAGTCTGCTCTCCACATTGTCAGAATAAATCATTTTATTAAAATGCAAATCTCATCACAGAGGACCTATATTGCTTCAAATCTACCACCAAGGAATACAAAGGCACTTCCCAATCTGGCTCTTGACTTGTCGATTGCCCAGCTTCACTCTTCCTCACCTTATAATGTACACTCCAAATGCAATTCCCTGATCTCATTATATTCTTTCACATTTCCTTCACCTATACTGACCACCCTGCTCCACTTGGGAAACTCTCCTCATATCTTACCAGGGTAAATTCAAGACTCAGTCAGCATCTTCAGGAAGCTGTTACCACAAATACCATGCTACTCAATACACACCCCTTCTCATACAACTCCCCTAACACACTGCTTGCTTACCTCTTCCTAGTTCCTGCAACAGACCAAACGTTGTCTTACTTCTGTCTCTGTATCCCTATCATCTAGCCTAGTACTTGTACTGGACTATTTGCTTTTAAATTATTTACTCTTCCTATCAAATTGGTGAAGATTTTTAAAAGGAGATATTATCTAATGCTATTGAGTGTGGTGAAAACTTTCAAGCTGATGAGAATGAAAAGCCTATCTTTCTGGAAAGCAATCAGTACTGAGAGTCTAAAAAGAACCACTTGGGAATGCTATCTGAATCAATTCTGTCAAGAGATGACGGCAAATCTTTCCTATAAAGTATTCCACCCTAACGATTTAACCAAGAGCATGATGTGTCAAGTGTGCACAACAATGCTTGCAGCAAAAGGGACACAAGTCAAACCTGCAAGTTCATATACTCAATTTCATAAGACGTTTTTTAGATCTACACATAGAAAATACTAAAGAACTTAATCACTTAAAACATTTTGTTGTACCTCTGGATGATGAGTTATAGGGAATTTTAATTTCCTTTAGGCTTTTGTATTTCTGAGGATTTCCACAAAAAGCAGTTTGTGGACTCAATACACAAAGCTATGGGAAATCCACTCAGATTCAATGAATGTGCAACACCAAAGCCATGTGTCACTGTCACAAACAGCACACATTAATGTAATTATTGCGATCCAAGACTAAGTATGTATAATTTTTAAAATTATACCAACACCTTTTAGCTATTTACTAAGATGTTATCCATCAACAGCACTTAAAAGTCCTGAAAGGAGGAAGAGGAGAAGTCAATTATCTTGTATTACCTGTGGAATTGGTTGGCAACGGAGAGGCAGTGGGCGCTACTTAAAAAAAACAAAAACATTAAGTCAAAACTGTTTAAAATATCACAATCTCTAACACTATTTCCAACCCTGCAGTCATTTGAGTGCCACTTTACAATTTTTACATTTTAGTGCCACCTGTGAAGAAAGACTGACAGTTGCTCTCAGCCAGTACTACACTCCCCCTCCTTAGGAACAGGAGCACCAATTTTCAGTGACACTTCCCTCCCTGCCGCAGACATTTCTCAACCTCCCCTGCAGCTAGGTAGCCATGCGTAACTTCCATGAAGCACATGTAAAGTAGATATGGGCTTCTCTTTCCCTCCCTCTTCCTGCTGGCAGAATAACCAATTACATGGCTGAATCATGAGAACTCACCTTGGACAGTAAGATCAAAGCCATTTTTGAGGAATAACAATAAAAACCTAGAAGGAGCCTGGGTCCCTAATGGTTGTAGAGCTGCTACTATAACCCTGTAGCTGCACTTGAACCCAGACTTCCTTTACAGGAGACCAGAGTAAATCTATTTCTTAAATCACTGTAATTTGATACATCACCAAATAAGTAGAATTGCTCAGTTTTTCTTTAATGTCTCTTACAATGTTTTACTTAATCTTATTTCTAAGCAACATTACCATGAAACCATAAGTCTGATATAATTTATTAGTTTTTTCTAACACACATTTAAATAACTATTAACATTTACCACCTAAACCATGTTATTGCACTCTACATAGTGTGTAACTGATCTCATACGAATGAAATTCTTAGTTATAAAGTTCAAGTTGGGATGGGGAAGATGGGAAAACTCCTACCAAAATTAAATCAAGATAGTCTTTCAAGGTTACTGACACTTTCCAGAAAAATCTTTTGCTCAATTTAATTATTACCGTGTACCAAATTAGGAGCTTGACTTTCCTTCTATAATTTATAGTCTTGTTAGAAAAATCTGCTGTTTCAGCTAGGAGTTTTAACTATTTCCTGAGCAAAGAGTAAAGGTTAAAGAGTAATCAAGTTCCTCAAATTAAAGTATAGGAAATGGAAGAATACAGAGAAGATGCATTTAACCACAGCACAAACTGTGCTGGACATTATGACATTCACCAGCACCGTAACCAAGAAACTGCCAGAACAAGACTGTCCAGGCCTATAAAATGAAAATAAAGAGAGGGACTAAAGTGCAATGAGTTTCTGTAAGAGTGAAAATAACAATAACAACAACAACGATGGAGAAGGCATTTGTACTTACAGCATTCCACAGTATAGCCAAATCACTAAACCAAGCTTCAAAACACTGTCCCTTTAGCAATCAATATAAGTGCTATTCATACTGAAATTTCTAACAAGATCAGAACTATGGAAATGCTTCAAATCAAATACTGAAATAAGGCTTCCTGAAGCAATGATCTTCCTCACCTCTCTGTGGCCACTTTCCCTAGCAGCCAATGAGAATACTTACCAGAACAGAAATCTGTACTGTTCACCACCTTGCAATCAGTAACTGTTGAATTATGTGAGCAGTAGCTTTTACCTGCTATGGAAGAAAAAACAAACAAGTTAAACAGCACCAATCACTCACTTTTATTATCTCTGACTCAGCTCCAGAATAGCTCTCAAAAATCAAACTCAGGCATAAACACTACAGAAGTCCATCCACAGACCAACAAAGTATTGTTATTCTTCTTCCCACTGTTTTAGCAATATTATATAGGATCTTCCCAAATATTATCCTTTTAAAATCCACATGAACATAATGAACAGATAAACTTAGATCTTGGAATTGTGGTATGACTAATGTACAAGGAAGGCTGCTAGAATCCACAAGAAGGGTGATTCAGGAGGGAGGAAGTGGTGAGGATCTAATAAAGGCTTAAACAGGGGAGCTACCCTGAAGGAAGCAGTAAGTCCTCTGTTCCAGATCTCTCCATTAGTTTTCTACACTTTCTAAAACCAATTCCTGGATGGAAGACATAGCAAGAGTAAGGAAGTGCTTTCCCTAACATATCCTACAGAAAGGCATTCAATCTCCGAAACTTGCCAACCTTGCGACACAAACGAGAGGGATGAACTTTTAAATTCCATTTTATGACAAACAAACAAAAAAGTGACTTTTATACAAGAGAAAACTTAACCCCCGATTAATTTAATACCCTAATTTTAAAAGAGGCTTTTAAACTTTGTTACATAGTGATATAATGTTCAGAACTCTTAAATTTTTCAGTGAAGAACAAAAAACCTTAAGATGTAGTTTGGCTTTTTCTTTATATGTAAAAACTGCTATACTGATGGGAGAAAAAAATACAAGTACCTTACATTAAGAAAACAATAGTTTATGCTGTAATCCCATGGTTCTAACAAAAACCTAGCTGGCATTTCAAAGTTACCTCCATCCAATTCTTTACCCCTCCAATTAAAGCTAGCTTTAAAACCTAACAGAAGCACCACCTTGGCCTTCTCTCCCTTAAGTTTCATAAGGTCTCTCTACAGTTCATCTACAGCACACACTGAGGATAAATGCCTCAAACATGTTTCTGGGGAAGTTTCAGGAGAAAATTTCACAACTTTCTTTCACAGCTGATTTCAGTGTATCCTACAAAGATCTATAATCTCTCTTCCTTCAAAACTATTGAGCCTTAATTATCAAGTCTAAGGAATTAAGTGAGAGGTGGGGGGATGGGAGACAAGAAGAGATTTTAGGGGAAAGTGTAAAGCAATTGGCACTGTATTTGATTTGTGAAAAAACAGTGTTACTTTCGTAAACATTCTACATAATTTTTGAATGTTCAAGAATATCCTGTAGTATATTTTAAAATGTTATAACAAAACAGTTTTGCATTCTCAAAATTAAAACAATCCCAAAGTTTCTTACCTTCTTTACATTCCATCCAAAAGCAGGTAATATTAGCAATAGCACTGCTAGCATTAATACAGGAAACACAGCTGTTGTGGTTTTCACAGATTTCTGGGGTGGGGAGGAATGTATGAAATAAATTAGTTGGCAACTGATTTGGAATTTGTATTACTTATTTTTTTTTAAACAATAAGCATTATAGACAGTACCAGACTTACTAACTCAGAAAAATGGTAAAACTTTATAGTCTATCAACAAGTGAAAGGGTAATGAACTGGAATGTTATTCAGTCATTAAAAAGGGGAAATCCTGTCATACACTACAACACAGATGGTCCCTGAAGACATATGCTAAGTGATATCAGCAAGTCACAGAAACACAAATACTGCATGATTCCGCTTATACAAAGTATCTAAAATAGTCAAATTCAGAAGCAAAAAGTAGGATGGTTGCCAAGAGCTGGGGAAGAGGGGAAATGGACAATTGTTCAATGAGCATAGAGTTTTATGCAAGATGAAAAGTTCTAGAGACCTGTAGACCAGTGTGCTTATAGTTAATACCATACAGTGCCTTTAAAATTTTGTTAAGAAGGTAGGTCCCATGTGATTTTTTTAAACCACACACAAAAAACTTCATAAAAGGGCTAAGAAATTACAATCATTTTAAATTACTTAGGAAGCCAGTGTCAACTCAAGAGAAAGGGGGAAAAAACACAAGTTAGTGGGAACACTCAGTACTTCATGGTACCTATCTAAACAACTTTTTTTTTTTACATGGCAACTCTTTCAGGCGCTCAGGATTTCTTGATGCATTTTAAAGCATCCTTAAAAAATAAAAATATTGGAAAAAAACACTGTTATAAGGCCAACAACAGACCAGGAAATCACTGACCCAAAACATCAGATGAGATACTAAAATTTTTAACAGTAATAAAGACGTATTACAGGTTGAACCCAAGATTTGAGGATGCCCATTCTGAAAAGCCCTAGTTTCGTAATTCATAAATTATCCACTCTTTCCAGCGTCCTCCATGACTAGAGGATAAGAGACAACACATTTGGAGGAAGCTACATTCATGTACATGTAATTTAACAAGTTAGCAAGGTTTTTTAAATAATTTAAGCCAAATGGCCCAGAAACAAGACTTCAAAGACGGCTAATTACAATTCAGTGTCTGGACAAACAAATGGACTATAGAATTGGACTCCATCCATTTCCTAGAAGATAGATGCCTCTAAAAAACATTCTCCTTCGCCTTCTCTGTACCTCAAAAAAAAAACCCCCACTAAACACACGCACACAAAACCCTGTTCAACACAGAAGCAATGCATTTCAATACTTCATCGTTAGTATTTATCAGAGACTGGGACATATATGGGGGGGGTGTCACAAAGCAGAATTAAATTTTTCAGAGGTTTGTATACAAATGAAAAATGCTAGTTGTTTAAAATCTTTTGTGCTGGATGATGAATATTTGGGTAGCACAGTGAATGGTATTTACAATGAACTATACTTGCTACCTTTCAGATGGCAGCCTATCTAACTACTACTTACAGAAAACACAAATTACCTCCTTTGCATGTATTTAAATTACACAAAGGCAATTAACTTCATATTTCCAAGCTTCTCTTTAAAAAACAAAAAAAACAAAACTACAATTCTGAGAGGAAACTGCCAAATAATCAGGAGGCAAAACATATTCCGCTCTACCACCTTAAAAATAGTGCCGTCAGAACTTCCAGTATTGTACTGCAATTTCTTTTCATTAAAAAAAATTTTTTTTTAGTACATATTTATTGATTTTAGAGAGAGAGGAAGGGGAAGAGAGGAACATCCGCTGGGGGCCTCCTGTATGCCCCCTACCGGATGGAAGTCCCTGACTGGGATTCCAACCGGTGACCTTTTGTGGTGCAGGGACAACGCTCAACCAACTGAGCCACACGGGCCAGGTCTAAAAATTTTTTAATTTTACCATTACATCTTTCTGATTCTAACAATAAAGTTCATTACATAGTTTATTAAGCTTTTATAAAATACAAAAATTAGGGAAGACATTGTAAAACAATATGATCAACCTGAAAGAAAAAAAACCAAGGTAAAAACCAGTAGTTCTTCCCTCAAAATGCCAGTTACGTCCTACCCAATATTGAACTAGAACCACCAATCACACTAGATTGCAGGTTTTATATACCTAGAGTTTCTTCACCTTATCTCAAATTTATCTTCCCTTCTTTTTTGTATTATCACGGCAGTGCCAATTTCTTCTTTATGCCTCGACCAGTAGCCTGCAGAGCTTAACTAAAGGTGTGTTCTTGATCGGATTCTAGGAAAGCGACAGACCTGGTTCCAGCCCCAACTTCACCATCTACTAAACAAACGGTCCCGGCAAAGTTACTTTCTCTCTCCTCGGTTTCACCACCCATTTTCTAGTTTAGCCTAAGAGATGTATGCGAAGCACTGGGTACACGAATGGGTACTTTCCGTCGTTTTAACAAAGCATGGGGTTTAAAGTTTTCATTAAATACTCAAACCTCAGATAAATCCCATACCTATCCGCAAACTTACCGTAATTAAATCTCAGGCGACTTATTTACAAACGAAAATTAATGTCTTCAGTTTCTCTTTCCCTCTTTTGCCAACTTCCGGAGAACCCTCCCTGCGGAGTGGGGACCTGGGTGGACCAACGACTAAACCCAGGGAAAGGGAGCTCGGTCTCGTCGCTACCTGCGAAGGCACGTCGCCTCGCCCCACAATCGACCCGTCGCCACCGCGGAAGCCAGCCACGTCCCCTCTTCTGAGCCTACGGCAAAACTGGGGCTTACGAGGCACTTTTAGAAAGCACCTCGGACTGGGACCCTGAGGTCAGAAACTGCAAAGGCGTCCGGGGCTCGGCCGCCCCTTCCCAGCGGAGCGCCTCCCC